TATTAATCACTTACTCTGGGTTTATTAATAAACAAAAGTGATTTTATTAAGTATAAAAAGTAGGATTTAAGTGGTTTCAAGTAATAACAGACAGAACAAAGTAAATCACCAAGCAAAATGTAAAGCAAAAACATGCAAGTCTAAGCCGAATACATTAAGAAACTGATTACAGGTAATATCTCACCCGCTGAGATGTTCCAATTAGCTTCTTTCACAGACTAGACTCCTTCCTAGTCTGGGCCCAATCTTTTCCCCTGGTACAATCTTTGTTAGATCCAGCAGACATCTCAGGTGGTAAGCAGGAGTTTTCTCATGATTGGCAGCCCCCTTTGCCCTGGTCCACCCCCTTTTATAGTTTTAGCACAAGGTGGGAATATTTTGTCTGTCCCTATCCCCACCCCGCCTCATCAATGGAAAAGTACAAGGATTAAGATGGATTCCAGTATCATGTGATATGGTCACATGTCGCTGTTAGACTCCTAGTCTCCATTCTTCCTGGGCTGGCCCACACATACACAAGAAAGTTTGCACGTAAATAAACCATTTACAACCAATTGTCCTAGTCAGTGGAGCCATCAAGATTCTAAACCATCATTAATGGCCCACACTTTGCATAATTACAATAGGACCTCAGAGTTATACTTCGTATTTCTAGTTTCAGATACAAGAATGATACATGCATACAAATAGGAGGAATATATTCAGTAGGTTATAACCTTTGTTATGATACCTTACAAGAGATCTTTTGCATAAAGCATATTCCAGTTACATCATATTCACACTCATAAGCATATTTCCATAAAACATATGGAACATATATAACATTCACAGTGTTATGCTGACAGACAAACTCCTTCTGTTGACATATGTTACACAAGGGGGTCTGCCAGTATAGCTGTGCTGGCTAAGTGTTTATAGTGTAGACATGGCTTTTTAACCACCATTTTAAAGAACCCAGTATCTTAAGCACAAAACTATCCTTCCTTGAGGTCTCACGTGACATTGTACTACAAAATCCCTTTTCCCCTCATTTTTTCCCTCTAGTCATTTGTCTCTATATTTAAAAAGTCTGGGCTAGTCATTGGGGAACGTGAATGGTGAAATATCTGGATTTTCCTCCTCTGCTCCCAATGACAACTCAGAGAAAAATGTTGAGCAAGACTTTTCTACCTCTCAGGTTGTCCTGCTGCTGCTGGCAATATGAAACAGACCATTTTCAGGGCTTTGTTTCATGCCTCATCATGCATGTGACTGCTGACTGCACAGAAAATGTAAACAGTTAACTGCTATGTATAGATAACATCAACTATTACACATTTTTAATCTCTGAAATTGCTGACAGTTTTACTGGGTCAGCATAGGAAAGAAGACACCAACCCAGTCCTTGGGTTCATCTGCCGGAGCTGTGTTCTTTAATTAGTTCTTATTAGATGAATAGTATCACATTTCCTCTTTGTGCCCCATAGCTTGGTTTGACTATTCTGCCTTTTTGTCTGTGTTAAAATTGCAGTGTTATTTAAATTGTGTGTGTTCCCAAAATTACTTATCTTTCACAGACTATGGTTCAATTGGACAGAAACTTAGTGTCAGCTGTTGCCTTGTTCAAGATTTCAATCTGAAGTTGAAATTGAGAGTGTGTGTGTGAGAAAGAGAGATGGAAAAAGCACACTTAGTAGCCAGTGGTTAATAGTAGATTCTTTGGATATATCTAATACAACTGAAGCCACAAATTTTGCTACAACAATGATTTTTAAAGACACACAATATTTAAAATTCAGAAATACTATTTTAAGAGAACTCTTGGAAAGAGATTTTTAATTATACAGTTTCTTTTTTACATCAGAATGGATATTTTGATATCATTTGGCTTTTAGTTCCTAATCAGATATACTTCTTGCCTCCTCAAAGCAATGGTAAGTTCAAGATGTTTCAATATGCAAAGGATTTTGATGATACATGTTGGCCACATCTGCTCTGAAAGTGGCTGAAGCATGATGTCAAGAGACTAAAATGTCCATATAATTATGTATAATGTCTTCATAAAAAGTGAACCAGATGTTATTATTTTCATGAAAGTATGTTAGGGTTCACTGGTTTCTCTTTGGAATGTTAACTTTCCTGATCATTCACCTCAGGCGTGATCCATATGAGGGATTTAGTAAATAATGTCTGTGGCATGCTGTACAAAACACAGAGGAAGACATAAAGGGGGAGACTTTCAAAAACACAAATGACTTTCAATGATCATTAGGCACCTAATTGCTGTTTGTGCTTTTGAGAATCTCCCGCATAATTCCTGCCCATAGATCTTACAAATTAAGACTAGGCATGTTAAATGTGAAACCCTTTGGAAAATTAGATGTGTGGAGACCTCTAGGTCTACACAGCCTACTACAGCAAGCCTCCCAGCTGCGGTTGACAGATTGGGCTTGTGCTAGTGCTCTAAAAATAGCTGTGTAGACAGCGCTTTGAAGTTGTGGCTTTAACTGGAGCTTGGGCTCTGAAGCCCACCCCTCTCCATAGGCTTCAGAACCCAAGTACAGCCTGCACCAGAACATCTACACAACTATTTTTAGTGTGGTAGCATGAACCCGAGTCTGTTGACCCAGGCTGGCAGATTTGCTTCCACGGGCTGTGTAGATGAACCCAACCAGACTACCACAGCACAGGTAGCAGAGCTGGGGATGAGCTTGTCACTACTGGGAGGCAAGGGAGTTCAGGAAGGTTTTGTCAGCTGGAGCAAAAAGTCAGTTTGTTTGTCACAGTGGGATGGGAACACTGAGTCTCCACCTTTTATTATGAAGGGAGAGGATCATAGTAGGCCAATGGGTGGGGGAGATTGGAAATACCTGCTAGAAGAGTGTAGTGTATAGGAATTGGGAAGTATCCTTTTAGTTTGTGAGACCTTTAGTGGCATTCACTGTCTTCTGTTTCAGAAGTCGCTGGAACCCTGCAGAACAGTTTCCCTGACACTTCCCACCCTATTTTCAGTTGCTTACAACTTTGCCAACTTCAACCATTCAGGCTGAAATTTTCCATACTGAATGTTTGCTTCAGGTGGAACTTTGTTGAAAAATTTCTGTCAAAACGGTTCAGCCATTTCTTAGAATGAGGTTAGGGAAAAATAAGTTGTGTCCATATGAAAAAATGTTGGTGATCTTTTTTAAACTAGCTTTAGCTGTTGGAGCAGTGGTGGGTTTTGTGTCCGGGATGCTATCCCTGTGAGAAAACACTCCAGTGTGACCAAGTTTATAAGCCTTGGAAAAATCTTGGTGTGGGTGATGGAAACTGGGATTGGCTGGGCAAGGAGACTGGGACTGGGAGAGAGTGGAGACTGGGAATAGGAGTCAGGAGTTAGAGGAGGCTGGGACTGGTTCAGCAGGGAGAATGGAATTGCAGCCCAGGAGGGAGGAAAATCTGGGATTGGTTAGGCCAAGAGACTGGAACAAGGGCCAGGGAAAGGGGAGCTGGGGTCAAAGAGCCTGGGAGAGTTTGAGTGGGGAGACTGATATTGGATGAGCAGCCCAGGGTGAGAGACTAGGACTGGGAGCTAGTGTGGGAGGAGAGACATGGGATGAAGAGCCAGGAGGGGGGAACTGAAGTGGCTGGGCAAAGAGACTGGGAACAAAGAGTTGGGAGCGTGGGTGGCAGGTATAAGAGGCTACGCCTCCCCAAACAGGATGCGATGCACCTCCCTTTGGAGGTGTGCCAGTCTGCTGCTTTTGGATCACTGCCACCGAAAGAGTGCCTGAGCCAGGGCCCTTCCTGTGCTAAGCCCTGAGGCCCTGCTCCCACTCATCCTCTTCCCCGTGGCCCAGCCTGGGTGGGAATAGACAAAAGAGCCCCTTAGACAGTACTCCCCTCCAGAGCTTGTAATGGAACCCAAGATCCCTGAGGGCCCCCATTCCTCTGCTGTCAGCAAATATCTGTGAAAACACTGGCAAAGTGTCCCATTCCCCTCTACTGCAGGTCCACATAGAGGGTGACAACCTACAACTACTTTCGCTTAACCTGTTAGCTGAAGTGGCAGAGGTCTGGGCAGTGGATCTAAAGGTTCAAACCCGGCTGATGAATTATGTGGGTGTTAGTATTAGAGCTGGTCACATTTTTTTTGATGAAACATTTTTTCATTGGGTTTTGCTGATTGGTCACAATCAAAATGTTCTGTGGGACCATGTTGATTTTGATGAAATTACACTGGAAACTGAGCAGGCTTCTGACAGAAGAATCCTGCCTGGTTTCCTGCCAGCTCTCCCCCCTGACACGGCAGCCTGCCTGGCAAACTGCTGGAGCACCCCGGCTTTCAAGTTCCCAGTGCCTCATCAGGCCATCAGGTGGGCTGAAGGGGAGCCGAGAGCCTGGAAGCCCTGAGAGCCCTAGCTCCCAGGCTCGAGGCTTCTTGGCAGCACAGGCCTCCAGGATCCGCAGCTCCAGGACAGTCTGCCAAGTGGGCTCTCTCAGAGTTGAGGCTCTTGTGGCTTACAAACTGCCCCAGAGTCCAGGCTCCCAGTAGAGCTGGGAGGAGAACAGTAATTCCATTTTCACAGAGAATGTCAAACTTTTCTGAATTGGAACAAGACCAAGTTTCAAAATCCACTGCAAAACATTCCCTGCCCAGCTCTAGTCACTGTGATACCACACAATGGAGCTTCATTTTTTTCTGTGTGCTTTTTTAAAAAGCTATGAAATTACAAACACAAAATATGTTACAAGAACCTTATTCAGGTTGCAAAGTCAAGCACTGCATGTCACTCTGAAGCCTGGAATGTCTGTTGTCAGTGTGAAGTGATAGCAACAGCTACAAGCATACTTGAGAGTTCTTTTTGTTCAGAATATCACCAGGTTCAGTCATCACTGGGTTTCACAGTCTGTTACTGTCCAATTTTAAAATTTTCAGCTTTACAAATTGCACCTGTGCAACATCAAGGCATGTATCTGTGCCATGCCAAAAGCCTAGACCACTGTGGGATCAGAGGTTACTCAGCCAATCACCATCCTTACTCTGTAGCTAATTTGCATGCAACAATTTAATTGGTTGTATGAGGGAGACTACAAAAATGGCGGATTACTTGGCCCCACTGCCATAGTTCTTCCAAACCACACAACCAGCACACACAATAACCCCAAACACACACAGCCTCTCACCGCAGCACACACCCCTTATTCACCACCTACACAAATAAACAGAAATCTCCCAGCACAACTCCCTCTAGAAACGAATCAACACAATCAGCATACATAATAATGCCAAACACACACAGCCCCTCACCACAATACACTCCTCTCATTTGCCACCCACACAATCTCCCAGCACAACCAACCACCCCAGACACAAATCAACACAATCACCCAGACAGCAACACAACCAGCATACACAATAACCCCAAACACACACAGCGCCTCACCTCACTATAAACCCCTCATTTGTCACCCATGGAAATCCACACAACTCTCCCTGCCTAACACAAGCCCCCCACAACAACACAACCAGCATACACAATAACTCCAAACACATAGAACCCCTCACGGTAGTGCACAACTCTCATTTGCCACCTGCACAAATCAAAACAAATCTCCCAGCACAACCTTCCTAGACCCAAATCAACACAACTACCCACACATCCAGCACACACAATAACCCCAAACATCACTCTGAAGCCTAGATGTCTGTTGTGTCAGTGTGACACAAGGGAAACAGCTATAAGCATGGTTGAGAGCTCTGTTTGTTCAGAATATCACCAGGTTGAATCATCGCTGGGTTTCACAGTCTGCTACCAGCCCTCTTTTAAGTTCTTAGCCATTTTTGGCTTTTTTACCACATGACTTTACATATTACACCTATGTAGTAGCACAGGCTTTCAGCTACTGGTGGATAGATGGAGCTACTATAAGGTGGGTGCATACATAAGATCCCTCTCATTAATATATATATATACACACACACACACACACACACACACACACACACACACATATAT